AAAGCGACTGAGTTGCGGAAATTTTTGCGTGTTCATCGAGCATTCTAATATCGGAGAACAAGTATCGGGGAGTAATGGAGAACGGTGAAACAGTTCAGAGAGTACGAAATCGACGTCTCCTGCGGCATAGTGACGAGCCATCGAATTTCGTTGTAGATAATAAATCACAACGATCGAATATCATATTAATGATGAAACTCAGATGTTTTGCGCAAAATCGAAATGCCAGGAAGTTGAATAATTCCATCTCTAGGATCTGTGAATTATTAATTGATTTTACTGATTATTACTTTATAGAGATTATAATACAGACCATGATATAAGAATATAAAGTAAGAATATAATAAGAATATAAATATTGCGCATAATAGCAGATTAATAAAATAATACTTGTTTTAAAACTAGAATAAAAAATTAAAACAATTATATATATTTTAAAATATCTATGTTTCTAATATTTCAGATATTAAATTAAGGCCCAACGTTACTTTGATTTTAAGCGAGGCTTAAAACTCTTTCTGTCTCTGTCTCTTTTTGGCTTTAAAACGAGACAGAGTTTTAAGTTTCGCTTAAAGTCAAAGTGACATTGGTGCAACTGGGCCTAAATCTTTTAATTTTTTTAGATATCACAGACTTTGTTTCTTCTGTTGAATAGTATTATCTCCGGACTCGGAGATGCGGCTAGAAATTTGTTGAAAGTGATTATTAATTTTGTTAGAATTATTTTGTTAGAATTTTCAAAAATTCAGTATCCGCATTCGCAGACTCTTCTAATGCATCTCAAAAGTCACAGAAAGTGATCGAAACAACTTAACGCACGTAACTGGTAGCTATCATTGTTGCTTTTTATAATTTGAAATTTGTGATTGGTCAAAGAGCAGCCATGTTGGATAAGTGTGCATTTTCGGAAATGGCATATTCTTATATTCATATCGTAATAAACAAGAATCAAAAATAAATTAATCGAGAGATAAAGATTATTTAAAGTGGATGCGTATAAAGAAGATTTTAAAAGATTTAGTAACGGGTTTGTTTAAAGACAAGCGGTAAGATAAATATCGGACAAACATATACAAACGAGATTGGCATAATAATTCTTACGAAACAGTGTCTTACACACTTTTCTGTTATAAATCTTAAGTAAATAAAAATCACATTTCTCGAGAAAGCGTTTCTGATGAGCGCGTACTTGAAACGCGCAATCCGTACCTTCAGTTTTGTAAATGTCGAATATATTATACTTTCTTTTTTTTTGACCGTGTTTTTTTTTATTAAAACGAGAAATTTCTTTGTAACAAGACTATTTAAGTCAACGGACAGAAAAACGTATCCAGCGGAGAGAGAAAACTTGCGAAACTGCAAAAGATAACGTAACGTTGCGTTACATTATTTACTTTATTTGGCTGTAGACTTCTTGTTACGATCAATATGTTTATTACGAAATTTATCTTACATTTATCTTAAATTTTATTATTTTTATGGTATACAACAAATTTTTTTATGTAATTAATTAAAAAACACAAACATATGTTATATCTCTCTACACGTTTAAAAAGTTATTAAAATAAATGTGCAAGATTAATCTTTAGAGAACGAGAATCTATTTTACAAATCTTACAGCTCTTTTCCTTGAGATTTATTAAAATTCATTGTCATTATTTCATTATATTCTTTGCCTCAAAATATAATATTATTTTAGTGACATTATATAGTGGTTTTTTCGTTCTGTAAAAATTAATTACCGAGTAAAATTTTAATCTGATTTGCTCCAAGAAAAACCATAATTGAACAATGGTCCATGCTTTTTGCTTAGCCGGTATGATTCGTTGTATAAATCATCGACCTAATCGCGCGAGACAGTGACATTGGTGCCGCTCTATGTCTCGCGTTGCATAAGCATTGGGCATTGTTTCTGAAACACTAATCATAATTATACCCTCATTACCAGCCAAGTAATGCCAGATATTATTCTGGGATATCGTTGACCTCAAGTTTATTTCGCAGACGTAATAGTCTTTACGATCACCGTAACGATCCCGATGCAGTCTGTTGTTTCTCAAAAGTGTACCTTTCAAAAGGTAGGAAACCTTCATTATCTCTCGCTATTTGTCCTGCCGTTAATTGCAATACAATTATTTTTTCCCCGAGTAGAACCAGCCAAACAAAAAGATAATTGCAATATTAAAATTATTTCATTTACTGATTTGATTTTTATACATAACCAAATTTTTTGTATCTACAGATTTATTATGTTAAAATAATATTATATATGTAATTTAGATATATAGAAGGCTTGTAAAATAATAATGTAACTAATAATTTGTAATCTATTCGTATTATGTCTCTATTAAAAAAAAATCGTATACGAGATTAAAGGAAAAATATATCAAAATGAGTTTTGCATTTTGAATAATTTTTGCTACCTGTGGAAAGATATCAAAACGGATCGTCAGTTCCGTTTTTAAAAGAAAGTTCTACAGTAAAGCCAATTTAGTTTATACCTTTGCCGAATTAATGAATTGTATTTTATATGCTAATTAATTTGATATGTTAACACACTAGAGAGTTAGATATTGTCTCTTAATATAAATTTATAGCTTAATCTCTTCTTGATCACTTTCACCGATAGTTTCGAAATGATTGACGATTGCGTGCCCATAAGTACACGCAATCAATTCCCTTCGGTCCATCTCGTGTTATCTATCTTATGAACCCATTTCACGTATAATCTTCTCTATACACGCTCGATACACATGACGTAACCGTCGTAACCGATTCTTTCGGCATTCAAGTTGCTCAACTTGTGAATAACGAAACGTTAGTTTCTTTTTTTTGCGATCTACAAAACATGCACCTGTATCAATGCTGGCATGCTCGGCAGAAGGAACCGAAGGGACGGAGTGTCGATCTGCTTTCGATCACTTTCACGCACAATTTCGAAACAGGTGATTTCATCGGATCTTCTCGTTATGGCTTTTTTTCCAGTAAGCCTCAATTAAACCGATTACATCCGATTCCGGTCGGTCGGCGAAATTGCGCACCTCTTTTCTCTCTCTCTCTCTCTCTCTCTCTCTCTCTCTCTCTCTGTCTTTTTTCTCGTTTCCTCTCTCAGATTTCGGTCGCACGCGGATATAGCTGGTCGCGTAGCACTTAAAACCACCGGCTAAAATTGTGCGCGCGCGCGCGCAACCGACGGTGAAAGTGGACGAGAGTGACGTCCGAGTCAGTCAGCTCTTATTGTGCACCTCGCAGACGTTTCGCGGAAAGGCACGACTTCCCGGTCTTCTGATTATGCAACTGGTCGAACCAGTTTTGGAGCAGATCACCAAACCATCGTCCCATGGGCGTCGACCAAACGTCCGGTTCATTCGTCTCCGGTTTCCATCAAGCGATTTATAATCAAAGTCCTTAGAAGACTCTCTCATCAATGTTATTCGTCAATATTATTCAATTTTAGCATTATCAATGGAAGAAACTTCTTTCATCAATGTCTTCTTTGATCAAATTTATCCTTTACCTGTTAATGTTTCATCGCTTTCCATTATGAAAGAAAGAAAAATAAGGGAAAAATGAAAATAATATAATTAATCCATAATGTCTTCATTGTACAACATATTTAGTAATTAAATTTACGGATCTCTTCTATATATATGTATATATAATATAATTTATGATTCTGAAAGTAGAAAATTATTCTATTCGTCACTATTATTAAAATTAATATCTTTTCAAAAGCAGTATTACAGTTATACTTTATTTAATCTTCGATTAAGTTTTTTAAATAAAAGAAAGTATAATTTGTGAATGAAATTAAAAGTCCATACACTTCTTGATAAAGTGGCGCCTATGCCTGGAAAGTAATGAGGGGATTATGTATTCTTGACAATCAACTTGATTTCTTATTTTCATATTAATACCGGCGGATATACACGGAATGGATACGAATTACTGTTTCGAACATAACAAGGTAACGTCTGATGTATCGTGTGAAGTAATATCTTGCTCACACATTAAGTAAGAATTTCAAAATGACTTCATGATAGAAATACACTTAGAATAACACTTAATTGTCGGGGCAATCTGCGATTCTGTAATGGAATAGATCAATCGGTCAGGTACTATGGATTCTTTTGATCTTTTTGTGGCTCTCTGTCGATTTCCTGTGTATGAAGCTATTCCGAATATGAATTAAAATCGCATATCCGCGTCGCTTCGGTTAATAGAATCTCCTCCGCGACAAGAAATTGACTGGCTCGCGGCGTAAATTATTTTTCAATTATGCAAGAAAGGAATAATCGCGCGCCACGTCGTTAATTCGACACAAGTTGATCGGATCTCGAAAATGCGGGAAATCAATCTGCGCCACGTCAGAAGATATGAGACTCGCACGATCGGTTGAAATCAAATATTCCACTTTCGTCGTCGGAGAGTATTATGCATAAGATGGCATGCCGTGTGAAATGATAAGATCAAAATATTTCCGGTCGCGCGCACGATGAAATGCACGCATGTTGCGCGTTCGATGATGATGCAAGCGTTTCTTTTTGCCACGACGAGGTCGATTTCCGCGGTCTTCTCGTTACGCAAGACGGGCGGACCAGTTTTCTGGACAGAGACCACCTTTGTGCAATTACGTGCGGTACGTTTCAGTGGCATGCCTTTGCAAACAATAATGGCATCTCTTTCACGTGAAAGCTGACGTCCTACGCGTCAGCGCGCACTGTAAAAATCGGACGAGAGAGCGGCCGTAAAATAAAAGGGTTTAATAAGAATCTCCATTATTATGTGATTTTCTTTCTGGGATTAATATTTATGCCTTTAATTTTGTGTTTCTAATTCTCGGACAAATAAATACTATTTTTGTAAAAATATTTATTTTATTATATTACAAATGTCTGTATATGTATTTCATTAAAACTATAATAGCTAAAATTCTACACATAAAGTTTATTTTTAAGATTTTTATGACTAATTAATAATTTATATATCTAATTATAAAATTTTTAGTTTCCAGGCATATCGTGAGTTGTTAATCACTGAATTTAAAAGAATGCAATTAAAAGCGAATTGACGTGTAATTAAATCTACGTACGCCATTTATATCAAAAATTGTTTCGGAAATTATTATTCGCATTCAAGTTAATACCGAAGCAAAAGAAATGCGCATGATATGCGAGAAATGGTAGTTAAGATGAATATCCGATCTAATGGCGGCGATTAAAGGTGCAATAACGTGGCGAGGGATAAGAGGTAGTCTGATTGAGTTTACCGTAATTTGACAACAAAAGTACGATTTCACCTGGTACGATTTCGCCGGCTTTCGATTACGCAAGATAAGGGAGCAGTTTGATGTGGCTTTTGTCGTCGAACAGTTTTTATGCATATTCCAATCGAAGGAAATCCTCTTTCTTTCTTAAACATAAAATTTATACTTCTTCTCTTCCATATACATCAACGTAAAAGTAAAGTGTTGTTTAACGAACTCTTTTTGTGTGATAGTTGCGAATCGAAAAGAATAATTTGATTCACTTGAACGATTAAAAAGTAACATTAAAAAGTTACTTCGTAAAATACTAGACAGTGCTATGCCTCGATTTTGCAATCCTGTTAAAAAAATTGGAGCGTACAGAGCCAGATGTCTAGAAAATAAAACTGTTTGTAAGAATGACATAACAAGCACCTCGGTGCAGAAAATTCTGGAGTTTTTTTTTTACAACAATAGATATAATTTTTATTTGATCAATCAATAGTGAAGTTGATAGTTACAGGACGTGAATCACGAGCCGTTCAAGTATATGAAATGATTTATGCATTTACACCCACGCACAACACATACGACGTTTTCAGGCACGCTTTATATTCTTAATCGTAATACCACGTATATAACATTATAGCATGACATATCGTATAATATAATATATAGCGTAAACATATAATATTAATAGTATTGCAATTATACAGATCTATGTAATAACAAGTTTATAAATTGACAGCGCGATCTTTTTACATCGCGTAAAGCATGCAGCTTGACGCTTGACAAGAGTGTACTTTAGTATATTTGTATTATTTGGCAGTAACGATCGTTATTTTACCGTCAATCAACCTGGATGGTACATTCGAATTAGTAATTTAACTATTATTATTCATTCAGATTTATCCAGTGATCTTACAGGAATATGATTTGATATATTTTGGCAAATTAACGGTGCTTCCTTTAATTTATTATCATCAGTGCTCGATGATGAATCAACTACTCGTTGAGTCGTTGTGTTCAATAAAGTGTTGATACAATCCAAAGAACCATCATGATTCCCGTAACGATCCAAGACACGGAGATGGATGTGCCGCTGTTGTAGAAGCCACTACCGTAAACCTGCAAGCCCGCAGTCTCTATGCTCCTCTTGCAAAAGTCTCCGTCTATGTAACAAAATAAGATAGTAAATTACAAAATTGTGTCACCTTTCTTAGATCATTAAGAACGGCGAGCGACAGACATCCTACAGATCTATCTAATGAGAATCTGGTTACGAGCCGTGTTTTGTATGCAGAGTTTTAAATTTTGGCAAAATCACGCGAGAGAGAAGGACATATATTTACTATTTCTCCCCTTTTCAAAAAATTTTTTTTTCTTTTTTCTCATCTTTTTCTTAAGTGTTGCTAAAACAGAGACTAATAAGAATCGTCTCATGTCCAGATTTTTATTAGAGTCTCTAGTTGATCGAAATTGCTGCTCAAAAGAGAATAACGAAACCATCTATGGAAATAGCAGCCGAGACATTTTTTTCGATTGTCCAAAGTGAGCGTGCTATGGAGATCGCGCGATCGACACCGGTGAGGAGGAGCGAAAGGAAGGAAACGAACCATTCTAAAATCCCGTAATCGAGATCGACAGAAGCAGGAAAGAGAGTCATGCGGTGAATAATGGTAACCAACGATCGAAAGGTCGATTTACCTTTCCCTTTGTTAGCTTTTGTTCCTTGTAGTTTTGCGGATATTTTTTGGCAAATTCGTCAATATCGCTTTTTTTTTTATCCAATCTTTTCCGCTCGATTTAGTCGTGCGTTAAAGGGGTTTGCGCAGAACTACCTTAGGTCTTACCAGATAGCAATTTCTTGCACGTGCAATGTATGGTTTAAACACTTGTGGCTACGTCGATGGATAAAGGTGGGACGGGGAGTGGAAACGTTAAATAGTAACACGTATCTCATTATCTCGACATCGGGCACAATGCACTGATATTACTTCATTCAGTCGTATGACGTATTAACGCGATTTTTTTTTTACTGATGGACCACGATCGCGCGCGCGCTTGAGAAATTGCTGATTGCTTTTACGATTAAGAATTACCGGAAAAATTTAATAGCATCAATCTTCTCGGGTGAAATACGATAAGATAATTGGTAGCTCACAGCACAAAGTGTATAAACAGAATATACCGATTCCCTTAAAGATGAAGTGATCTATCTTTCAATTATTTGCGACTATGATCTTGCACCTCAATGCACGTGTAAATCATAGCCTGTACTTTTACTTATATACATAACAAAGCAACAGCGATGTATCAAACAATGATCGTGATCGAACTGTTCTTTTCAATTCTTGCGGGCAACGGTATTTAACTTTATAATAGTCATTTAAAGTATTTTTATATCCCGCGACGAAAAAATGTGAATCGTTGTAAAATATTTTATAGATATTGTTTAACATTTTTTTCTTTTTTACTAACTATATACTTTATTCCAAATTCTATTTATTACAAATTCCAAGGAAAAAACCCACAGTAAAGAAACATTATTTTAATTAATTAAAATCTTAATTTTTTAAAAAATTATTTTAGAAATACCTAAATAACATATTTAACGTACTTATATTTCGTTTGGTTTCTACTTAATTTTTTCGGAAAATTATGATTAAATCTATAATGTTCTCACGAACTAATAAGTCGGAAAATGATCTGAATAATGTACAATATACATATACAATATACGTCGTTAATAACAATGATTTTAATTAAGATATAAAAACACCTCAAGTTGTTTACGTAAAAAACTTATGTGATTATTTTCAGGTTAAAACCACTTAAGAAATTATTATCATTCATCCGATCGAAAGTCTTGCTCTTTGTTTTTTCCGTTACATTGCAGGCGCGTTACACGTGGACCATAACCGGAGAAGTTGCCGGCAAAACGAGAACGAAGATCGACTAAAAGTGAAATTATATGACTGGCGTTCCATGATTTCTTCTTATTGCGTTGTTACGTATATGAGTGCTGCGTATACATCTGTTCCTTACATCGGAATCATCTCCGAGAAGGAAGCCCCTCCTGCTGCTTGGCGTACTGAATGACCGTTTTACTAGAGCAAATACAGATTTATGCACCATTTCTCCGGCACGTTTTGTCGGCTGTGTTTGGTTGAAAATATTGACAAGTCGTGCGCGTACGTATATGAATGTTCGTGCGTTATGTAAGACGGACTTGCACGCGTCCGGCGGTGCTCAAATTCAGGTTAAGCTAACGATACTAACGTTTGCCTGCATAACCGTTGCAATCAAGTAAAACGAACTTCTGCAATGCAAATTGGTTGTTCAAAGCGACTCTCTAACATTACGCTGTGTCTTTTCACTTTCCGCGGCTGGACATGACGAATATTCCTACCATGACTAATCCGTCTTCCTATTTCGTGATTTGCATTTTCCTTACGACGCACAAGATACAGTATAGTAGAGAAAAAGTCAACAGTTTCCACAACCGAACATGTACTTGACGTATCTTAATTTAAAGATCTATACTTTTTCGGGGAAATGTTTATGTCAGAAATCAGCTTCCTGCTGGAACAAAATCTCGTGTAACTGGATCGGTCGTTCTGGTTGGTGGGAGACCTCATTACATAATATTGCGTAGTCGAATGATTTCTCGATCACGCGTGGCCTGGTCCCGATTGATCGAACGTGAACGCGAATGTTCGCTCTCACGCGAGAAGAGACGGAGCTCGCGCGCGTGTTTAATGCACGTGCACGTGCGACTTTGCCTTCTCGCAAATTCACGAATGGATAGATGGATAGATGGATGGATGCATCGAAGAACTCTTACGGCACGCGATGGAAACGAGCTATCTCACGATTCTCGCATGTCTCTCTCTCTCTTTCTCTTTATCTCTCTTTCTTCTCTTCTTTTAATCTGTCGCTATGTTTATCCTTTTTTAACTCTCTTCTGCTGGAGGCTTTTTCCTCGTTTCACACTCTGCTTTCGCAATTTTCTAGTCTCACGAAGTCAGAACTTTACAATCAACCTCTTCTCCCGATGGTTTCTCTGCCGCCTCTGTGTTTTATCACGGAAATAGTGCGAAAGTTTGCTATCGAAAAAATGAACCCCACGATGATTCATTCAGAAAAGACGATTTTGCTAAAGTATCTAATTTAGATAGATACAGATCTAAAAATGATTTTGTTGGATTGTCAATACTAATTATTTAGAAAACTCAAACATGATGAGTAATGTTACAAAAAATTTTGACATTCACCGAAAAAAAATACTAAATTTTAATAAATATTTGTTTGAATAATTTTAAGTAAACATTTGTAAATGTAAACATATATTTATTTGATACAAAAATAATTTTTTTATTTTACTATCATTTCTTTTATTAAATAAATATTTACTTATTGTAAGTAAAAGTTTACTTATTATTAGTACTATTCCAAGAAATATATTAAAATTTAATAAACTTTTTTTTCAATATTCAAACAATCAGTTTGAGCGTTTTACATTATTTTGATAGCCTACTATAATTTATTTGTATCTAGATAAATTTTTAAATATTTCAGCAGAACCATTTTTTTTTCTGTGCCAGGACAAGAAAGATTTCCGGATCAAATAATTCGCGTCGCTCACATTCACATGAGTTTTTCCGTCAACGTACCGATCACCGTAAAGTTCTTCGTTCTCTTATCTTCAAGAGACTATCTTCTTGAGTTGCAATTAATTCACGGATTGAAGTATATCGTTTTCATTATCGCCCCGTTACTATTTTACCAAAGTCCTATCCTATTTTCCTTTTCGTCCCCTGGGATGTCGACATTTCTTGATTTATTATTACACACATAATGATTTTACTTTATTTAAGAGAATTCATAACTTATTCCGCTCGAAGTGCTTCGCTATGCTTTCGAAACGCATCGGCATAATTTATGAACGCGCGGCACGATGTACACGTTCTTACCCGTGTAACCGTTTTTATATAACGCACGCGCGACCGATGACTGGCGTTAAGAATTTGGCAAGATGCATGGTCTTCGTTAGGTGTAGACCGTTAATCTCAATAATTTCGCCGTACACACGGCGGTTCGTAATTCACAAGTCGAATGTCGTCATACAATGAACATTTGTAACACTCGCCAGTAAAGTAGCACGTGGGAACTGCAACCTTCAATCTGTTACAGTAGGAAATTGCATAATTTTGTAGCGAGTTACGTCGAAAGATACCATATCATACAGTGATTTCCAAAAACGTCACATGAATCGATCTTTGTATCCGGTGTTGTAATAATGTGTAATTTAAGTGTAGATTTAATTACGGCAACGAATCATTTAGACCCGAGTGAACATTTTTGGACAATTGTACAAACTATTACTACGACTATTATATAAAATTTAAATTGTAGATGAAGGAACTTTGAACCTTTCTCTAATCGTCGTAAAGCAGAGGTTCACGTGCATTCTATATTTCAAATAGGACTCTTTAGATGTAATTTTTATAGCTGTTGTTGATTGAATGAGCTATCTATTTCTCTCTCGTTCCTTCCCTTTTTGTCCCTTACCGTATGACCAGCCGACTACTTCGCCCGTCCTCAAATTTTCGGTCCTCAACCAGTCCTCTAATGGCCGGAAGTACTCCCTAAGAGCGGATCCGTCTAATCTGGACTCGCCGATAGCTTCTCCCAACGTATCCCGCCACGGGATGGATGAGCCCCTCTCCATCAATCTCCTGGGAATAAAAACAATACGTTAGCTCGTGGTATCATTCCATTAATTTTCTACAATGGACTATTGCTATTACTCTCTACACTCTTTGGAATAAAATCTCATTCTACATAAAGGTATTTCATTCTTAAAAATTGAAAATTCTGCCACTCATTTTTAAGACTAACAGAATTTTCACATTTTAAAGTATTCCACTTCAAATTTATAAATTAGAGCATGTACTTTTCTGGAAAATGACACAAACGTAGAGTTTTTCATAATTTTTATAAAATAAATTTTTATAAAATAATGTCTGCGCAAGTACCAAAGGTAGCTCTTTAAAAAGCTACAAAGATTAAAATTGTCGCTAAACTTTTATATAATATATAAATATATATAATATATAAAAACGTTATTTAACTATTTAAATTATCACTAACAATGACCCTAATGGCACAAATTCTAAAGAGACATTTCAAAGAACATTCAGAAGATATCCTTAGATAAGATCCTTAGAAGATAAGATCCTTATATCCTAAGAACGTCCCTCGAATAAAATATGCTATTAAGGGAGTGGCTATAAGAATGTGGGGTACTTTTTGCTTTATTCAGCGGAAATCGTTGTTTGCGAGGTCAGATAAATGGAATGCATGGGCTGCACCGTCGAAAAAAAGAAATTAAGCGTCGTATAAAATGATTACATGAGAGATAACCTCGATGATTTCTGCAGATGGGTATTATCAGAGTTGGGAAGCGTTATTTTTTCCGTTACTTTTTATAATAAACATGACGTTGTAATTTTTTTATAATTAACCGCTAAGGTTGTGCCAAGGTTGGAAAAGTGGATCTTGCAACCTTAGTATTATCTTAACGTTTAGTTATAAAAAATTGCAACGTCATTCTCAAATTGTTTATTATAAAAATCCTAATAACGATCAGTAATCGAGCAAAAGAAATAGATGTATGATTAATTAATAAGTTAATATATATTTACATATAAATATAAATATAAATATATCAATTTATTAATTAATCATACATCTATTTCTTTTGCTCGATTATTGGTCGTTATTCGGATTTTTATGTTGCTGTGCAAATTCGAGCGTTATTATTCTTACTGTTTATTATTATAAAAAGTGACGAAAAGGAAATGGAAAAAGTAACGCTTCCCAACTATTATTCAGTAATACGTGTATAGAATGGAGTTAGATATTTATGGTTCGACATTCTTTCATTGTCGGACATGCTTTTCGCACGGAAACGCAAACATGGCGAGGGCGTAAGACAGGAAGAATAACACGGAATGAGGTAGCAAACCAACGACTATGATACATAATAAGAAGCATATAATAATGTGCGATTTTATTCAGCTGCACAATTTTACTACTTTGCTAACATAGAAAACTAACTATCCGTACATTATGGCTGCAGATTTGCTAAATCAGTAAAGTTTTTAATTCTTTTAATGAATCTTTTTTTTGTGACTCTATTCTATCTCTAATTTGTACTCTTAACTCCGACATGCCACAGTCCATTTCCAACGCGATTTTAATCTGCACGGGCGATACATTTCGTATTATGGCAGCGTGGAATGCTGTCGCGAAATTTATTGCATTGCATCGGCGTTTGGAATTTCATGAAAAATGTATGTCAACACCGACGTCGTACCTTTGACAAGTACAACTTATTTAATTGACATGGCCACATTTTCGGTCCGTAAACCTCGTATGTCTTTTAGATACTTTATTTCCAACACTGACTATTTCCCCGATAATATCTTTCGTTGCTATCTCTTTGTTATTCTGAAACGTAAAAATATAACTTTCGGAAATAGTATAAGACATATAATATAAAAATATTTCAAGATCACAATTATTTTAAAATCAATTCAGTTTTTTGCTTTATAAATTTCGTTTTCCTGATAAATAACGCTTTTTTAGACATGCATTTAATTGTAAAATCGCGCATTTTGAATTTCTAATAGGTCACGATTCGAAAGCGACATCGCAGACTTTCGAAAATGAAAAAAATCCAGATATTTTATTTTCGTCTACTTCTTAGTTCGTGAGATAAAAACTTAATCTCCCAGAATAGTAAAAGGACACAAACATCCGTTACGACATCCTTGTCCCGCCGTGCTTCAAAAATTAATTGATACGCAAATTTAATTGCAGAAGCGACAATATGTCTCAACGGTCGAGATGATTAATCGCAAATGAATTCATTCTTAGTCCATCGACATCGTCGATCGAACGATCGTCCTCTAAGCTCATAACACCGATCTAAGATTAAATGATTGTAAAGGCGATGTTTCGCGCTCCCTGAGAACTAGTGCACGGTGCCAACAGAGGTGACTGTTTAAACGCGCGGCAATTACGCAACGGTGGCAGCACGGCGGTATTCCGCGCTGATCGGCCTCTCAAATCAATCGCTAGATCAACGACGAACTCTCGCAACTTTTCCTTTATGCATAATCACGGCGTATCACAGAGTGTAGCGCAACGTTCACTAAGTAGAGGATTCTTAACCGAACTTGTTTAAAATGTTTCACAGGCACGTAATATTTGTCGCATAGATCTTTTTCTGGTGAACAATGCGATTGAATATTCTTTTGACATGTATTATTTTTACTCAGCTTGCTATATATTACAACGATAAATTTTTGCATAATCGAAATACTATTGTATAATATATATACAGTGAGTGCAAAAGTGTTTGTACAGAAAAAATATTTTTTAAAAAACTTTCTTTTTAAAAAGTGAATATTATCCAGCGAGAAATGAATCATCGAATTGATGTCGAATCGATATCGATATGATGATTTCAATACAAGTCGTCGATTCGATGTTTAATTGACGATTATTTTTTGCTGGATAATTAACAATTTATTCATAAAATAGACTATATGTTTCTTAAAATTATATATACCAAAAAAGATATATATTAATTACAGAAAATGTATATTATTTAAAACACAAGTGAAAATTAAAAATTCTATTGTTTGGATGCTCAAAAAGTATTCGTACAGTCGAGAAATTTAACGTCTAAAATCAGGAATACATGCAAAGCTCGTTTGTTTATGTTAGAACAGAATATATTCATTGTATAAAATTGCTAATTAATTAATTTTTTTATAAATAAGACTTTTTTTTACAAAACATTTCTTTGTATGAATATTTTTTGCTATTACTGTATATACACGTTACGGAAAGAATGGTTTTATTAAAGTATCTAAAAATTTAGCTAAATACAAATTTAAACATGAATTTTTTGGATCAAAATAGAATTATGTAAAATTAATTCTTATAGAATGTCAAAATTTTTTGCAGCATTATTCGTCATGATTTTGTACATAATTGTTTTTATGGTCTAACAAAATCATTCTCAAATCTATATCTACCTAAATTTTAGATATTTTAGCAAAATCGTTTCTTTCGTGTATATATAGGTATAATTGACATATAAATGCATACATGTAGAGAAGTTTATATATCTTCCTTTGATTGATCGTATAGCTAATTAACATGTTGATTACTCTCCAGTCTCGAGAGACGCTTTGTTTGTACCTACAGATACATGTTCGCGAAACCAGGTCATGCGAAAGAGTCAATCTTGATAATATTATTATACATATCGACGATCGTTTCAGGGCTGAATTCACGCATCCAATTACATCACGGCAGTTTATCGAGCAACTGCGGTGATTTCATGTTGCCAGAAAGTGCAACCGACGGATGACGTCGTCGACCGTAATCACAGCGCCGGCGTTACGAGAAAGATAGCTTCTCACTGACATCGATTCCACCTTCAATCCATTTCCAATTACTCGTACAGAATAAGAAATGTTCGTGCACCCACCACGCCTCTCGTGAAAAACGATTCGATTGGTAAACACATCTCAATATATCATGAAAAGCCTGATATCTCTCTCTCTCTCTCTCTCTCTCTCTCTCATTTCTTCAGCCTTTGACTGTAATTTATATCGATCACATAATTTCCGGTGTTCGGCACGTAGGCGAAATCGGTACTTTCCTGCCGACGAGCAATGCATTTCGCAATAGTGAGATGCTGCGATGAGGCGAGCATTTTGCCGATGAGGTGTATAAAACGAACAGGTGCATAAACTTATCGCGAAAGTATAATAAAGATAATAGTAAGTGTTTGAATTATTTAATTCAAGAATAGTTGATTCAAGAATACTTAATTCGAAATAGGTGAAACCTTTATAAAATTTACTGTCGCTACTAATTACATCTTAATAACATACTTATAACTAATTTTGTCTAATGAGACTTTTAACTCATCATTCGAATAATTAGGATTTTTTTAAGAACCGCATTTGAAGCCAGCATTTTTACATAATAAAGACATAATCTTACATAATAAAAATAAAAAAAAGAGAAAGATCGTATATGTGTGTGTGTGTGTGTGTGTAAGAAGGTGTAATATTCAAATTAAATATTAAAAAATTATACATTACAATATCTTCATAGTTTTATAGGAGAAATTTTTGTCAATTTTAATTTCTCTTTTTATGATAAAATATTGGAGATTGAAAATTTAGCATTTAAATAACAAAGACAAGTTTCAGATTTTATGGAGAAATAAGAGATGAAATGGTGAAAGTATCGCTAAAGGATCCATAATAACGTTAAATTATCGCAAACGGACGGATGTGTAACAGCGAGTTAAAACGGATATGATTGCACTCTCATTGTCGGTCATTTAAATCGTGTTTTGGTTTCTGCGATCGTGGGCAGGGGCGATTTTATGCATTCAGAAGGCTCCGAGGGAACAGTTACGCGGCAGTTACTCTCAATTGCATTCAAGGCGTAAATGTTGTACAGTATACCACAAAACCTTTTTGCTGTTTCTTGTTAGCAGAACTTTCAAACGATTCCTTTCCGATTCTCCGTGCGATCGTCCATGGCGTCCAAGGACGAAGTATCAATTTGCATTTGCGTTTAAACCATCGCGTCGGTGTGTTAACGAATGCATAAGTCAACCGTGATGTCGCATACCTTT